CGTTAGATAATTTCATATCGTTATATTAACACCAGTTTTGTTGCTACGCTTAAAATAATATTATAGTATTATATGCATGAAAGTTCATCCATACCATTTTTGAAATTTCTTTAATGGGGTAAAAAAAAAAATCCAATAAAGGTAATATTAAAATTAATATGGAAAAAGTAAATAATAGTTAAAAAGTCAATAATAGTAATAAAAAGTTAATTATATTAATCAGTATGTATGACATATGTGCGATTGATGATTGATCGGCATGGCTTAGGCTAACTGCGCCATTAACCTGGCACACATTCAAGACGTGCAACTTCATAGATATGTATGCCGCTATGCTGAGAATATATATAAGGCGCATAATTTATTATTTATTCAATTGGTGTGTACAAAACTTATGCAAAAAAGCAACAAGACATCTGAGACTATAAATTCTAGCTTACAAATTGCAAAACAAAGAATGATTTTACCGTACTATACTTCCTAAGCTATTACAATATGTAAGGTTGACAAAAACAAAAGTCTACATATGTACACGAATTTAGAAATACTAATGTTATAACTAATATTTACGTACATGTCAGATTTAACTACATCAAAAAAAAAAGATTTCTTGAAAAGTAATAAAAACTTTTTGGGAATGTTTCAATACAATGTTATTACTTCAAGAAATCCCAAGTGCATTTTATGACTCCTTCCGCAGGGTCACCGAGTTGATTAAATGCTGCCGAAGTTAAAGTAAGATCATCTAATTTACAATCTTCACATCGATCCACAATCGTCACTGTTACTGATTTTGTAACTCTAGTTATTTTAATCTTTTTACCGCAGAGTGTCTTATCGAATTTTTCGGTAGATAATGCACAAACGAGATCATTGTTTGTACTAGGTATTTCGCATTCACCAAGTTTACCATTTTCTACATTAGTGAAAGAAATATCTCCTGTAAATTCTTGTCGTTTTGCAAGATTAGTAAAACTTCTAGATTCTAGCTCATTATCCAAATTATCCGATTTATAAGCAATAATAAGATCAGAGAAGAGTGCAATAGTGCACAAAAAAATTGTCATAAGAAAAAAAAGCCGGGTATATAATAAATTTGAAGACATTTTCGGTTTTTTTTTGTTTGAATAGTCGCAAATAATAATATAATAATTAATAGTTACTAACGTTTTTTTTTTTTTTTTGTAGAAAGTGGAACGAAAACCGGCCTTTATATGCGTTTTTGAACAATATACCATTTTTTTTTTTTGAGTATCATTTTTAAAAAAGTCTTAGGAAGAATAAACGTGTATATCATGCTTCTAAATATGGGACGCCTATAGCAAAAGCAGGGGATGGGACTATATAATATATAGTCTCATTGCTATTGGCGTTCCCATATGATATAGTGCTTTAAATAAATATTTAGGGATATCTAAATTTACCAAGTTTTGTTTTATTAAAAGAATAAAGTTATTTTTGATCAAGAAATTAACGTATTTTGGAAAATAAAAACCATAGGGGTATAAAATATTTAATTCCGCCCGATTATTATACTAAGGGATACTAAAATTAACGTATTTTGGAAAATAAAAACCATAGGGGTATAAAATATTTAATTCCGCCCGGTTATTATACTAAGGGATACTATTGTTAATATGTGTAAGTTCATATTTAATCATTGATTATAATAACTAGGTACCTTACAATTCTTTATGTTGTAACCATACTTTATACTCGAATCTTTTACATCAAGATCATCAAAAAAGAAGTAAGGGTATTATGCAAAATACGGGATGTAATTTTTATAATAAAAGATTAATAAAAGATTTAAAATATATCAACATAATACTTAATAATAATTTCTCGTAATTAAGCCTTATGATATCAAATTTATAAACCATATTAAAATTTCCAATTTAATAAATTTTTACATTATATTTCTTAAAATACATATTACATAAATCGATAATCACCGTTAATATTTAAGTTTTGAATTATTTTATCACGTAAGTAAGGCTAAGTAATTATTTAAATTTTAAGAGAATATGTTTGTACTATAAATACTATATTAAAAAAGGAGTATGTAAATAGAACTGATATCGTATAGTTCCAAAAATAGACACTCCTTTTTTGTTATACGTAAGGGTACTTATTTTTGGATATAAAATACTGTAATTAAGAAAAATGGTTTTTAATCTGATAACTATTGGATACAAATGTGGGATGCAGTGCTTATCTGTAATATTGCAAATTACATAAACAATGAATGATATACGTGCAGTATGTACAGTACGTACATACGTAAATTTTTACCTTTGTAATTTTTCTGCATATTTTTTAATTACCTTATTGTTAACATTTTCATATTTTCATTATTTCCCCTTTAATATAGGTTTCTTTTGTCTTACTTATCATTATAACCCCAGCATGTAACTACTATATACCACAATACTATCGGAGTGATCTTTTAACCGGCGAATTATCGATTGAAGATATCGACAAGAATGCCAGGCTTAGTCAGGATAATAACACAGTTAACCCTCTCTAAACACAACGACCTAAATGCAAAAATTATTTCTAAAAGTGCAGTTCATTTTAATTTTCCAATATAATTTGTTATATTAAAATGTATCATCCTATGTTCTTCCATCAAATTATATTTTCTAATTGCAAATTCTCTAAACGCAGTAGCCCTTGATAGTTTGCACCTAGAGAGCGTTAAGAACCAAGAAAAATGAAAAACAAGAAAATGTAGAGAATTTATAAGTAAGGAGTAGTTGTGTCTGATTTAAGATTAGGTAAATTAATGATATAACCGATAATTGAATAAATTAATTAATCTTTAAGGATATTTCAGCAATCGCCGTATAATTCTGTAGCTCAATGAACGTGATGTCACTCACAAAAGTTGTGACAAATAGAAAATCTGCGTCAATCTCCGAATTTCAAGCCCAATATCGGTATCCAGGTTTCAAATATAATACTTAACGTTTAATGTAAGTTTTGAAAAAACATAAAATTTTTGTATGTACAGATAAGAATATCTATCTATCTATCTATCTATCTATCTTCTATCTATCTATCTCTATCTATCTATAATCTAATCTAATCTCTAATCTATAGTACAATTTTTCAGTTCGACTCATCAGCCCGTAGATCTTTTCGTCAGCGCCAATCACCAAACGTTGATCTTTCATCCTCCATTATTTGTCACAACCAAATCATCAACTATCGTATTTTAATATTTATGAATGTAGTTAGTTTGAAGGAAATGATCACTATTTTTTTTTGATCGGTTCGATTAACATTAATAATTATCGAAAAGCATTGCACACACATGATAAGTATTTAAAATTGGATGCCTCTAGCTAACGATGCTAGATATTAAACTTTATTGTGCAATTTTTTATTGAGAAATTGTAGCATACATCAGTACGATTGATGTATAAGCTGAGATGGAATATGCTCCCAGAAATAGCAAACATAATTGCGCCAGGTATCACCGTCATCAGCTGAAATTGCGATGCGTAGCAACAGCCGGTGGTCTTCCACACTGCATAAAGCAGGCCGGCCTTGAATTGAAGCTTTAAGTTGGCACAAAATGGCAGTATTCTATACGGGATGGGAGGGTACGGGTGCGAAAAATAATTTTTGCGGATGATGATGCAGATATTTCTGGATCGTGCTTCATATCCTAACAATGGGTAATTTTTTAGCAATTGGGCAGTTGCCCGAATAGGCAATTAATTGAAACCTTAATAATTTGTTAATTTACGCGGGATCAGCTTAACTCCTTGACCGATTAGGGTCAGTGGCTGTGCTTCTGGGCTTGACCGGATCGCTTCCGGCTTAATCCCTGCTTAGCTATCTTTTCGTCAACTTGAATGTTTAAGATCATCGAAAATTTGTAAGATCGTCAATACTGTGTGCCTCAGATTAACGTTAATGCTTGCCTCAGATGTTCATCGGCCTAGATAGGTTTAGGGTAAGATTAGGGCTTAATTTAGACTAATCAATATCGATCAGTTAATGCTGGTCAAAAAAAATTGACATCTGAGGCAAGTACCAATATGAGGCACAACATTAATATCCAATTATACAATTATTCAGTTCGACTCCTCAACCTGTATCATTCAATAGCACTGCCACTTTCTTTTAGTATTGATAATCTTCAACTTAAATTTAAAAAATTTATCACTGTTTCTATCCATAACTGTAATGCCACGTACCTGGTAAATTTATCCTATTTACCATTTTGAAAAATAGTGCAATTTGTCAAAATCTATTCATACTGAATGTATATATATGTCATACACATGTATAGATATTTCTTTTACCTAGCATTTTTTTCCAATTTGCAGTTTTATTAAAACACTCATACAAACTTATTACAAGGCAGACTGGGCATTTAGTCCAAATCAAAAAGACAATATATATCAAAAGTGAGCTGAGAAACAGGATTTAAAATATTTAGAAGCCTGTGGAAAAGAGAAAAAAAAGGAAAATCAAAATCTTTCAAGCTGAATAAAAAATAGAGTTTCTGACTCAAAAGCCTAACCAATACACTGAAAAGACCTATATCTTTTATTAGTCTGCAGAAAATGTGAAAAGGAAACAGAAAACTTTAAGCACCTAATGGCATATAAAGTTGATAAAGTAAGCTAGCTCAAAAAAGAGCTAAAAAAATCTGAATAACTCTATGAAAAAAAAATAATACAAGATAAGATTTACTCAGCATTTGCTAGTAGAAATACTACAAATAGATACAAGAAAAGAAATTACCCAGCAAGAGAGCTAATTGAAACAGATCTAACATTATTTTTCAAATCAACAGGTATCACCAGAAAGGCTACAGAATCAATAATACTTGAATGGTATGATAAGTAGTACAGCTTTTTTCAAGAAGAGATATGGTTCTAATGTTGCAAAGAAGTTGGAAGATGAAAAAAAGAACTGCAAATCGCCTCTGGAAAAAAAGAGATAAGGTTTTACAAGAACTAGAAATTCAAAAAGAAAACTCCAGAAGACCACTCTAATACGCTAGAAAAAAAAAGGAAAATAATAGCTGGGATATATTTAAAAGAATAGAGATTGTAACAGAAGAGGTAAACAGATGGGTATAGACCAGAAGGTAGTCCAGATAGAATAAAAATTAAAATAGATCATGCAGGCTATAGATCCTGGCTAAGGAATTGTAGGTATTATCTGAGATAAATAAAGAAGAAGCAATGAGGTCAATTTTACTTTGGCAAATTGCATATAGATACCATTTGGCAACCAGGTGAGCCACATTTTAGTTTAAAATAGAATAGCTATAGATAGACTATACATTTATTATAAATGTAAAATTTATATTATAAAATAAAGTTGTAACAAAATCATCAAAAAAAAAATAAATATATATATATATATAGGCAGTCAAAAGTAGAAATCGCCAAATTTGAACTTTTTTAAAAATGAGTTTTTAGATTATTCAGATATAATTTTTAATGCTAAATCTTTTTTATTTAATAACAAAAATATAATCAATTAGTAAAATTTAAAGTTATAGTCATTTAAAAACTTTTATATAGCAAAATGGCAAAATCTAAAAATAGATTAATGTCTAACATCACACAATTGTTTATATTTATATTTAAAATTAAGCCTATAAACACTTCCTGCAAATTCCTAACACAAAATTTACTTAAATTCATTCAACAAAAAACGTTTCTTTATGCAAAATTTTATTATGCTAACCCATAATATTCAAATTTCAAGTCTTTAGCTCTTATATCTGTAAAGAAAAATCCTAAAATATTTTTGGCAAAAAATTCAAACCTTTTCTATTTACTCTTTACCCTGATTCTAAATCTATACAATATGTTTAGTAAAAGTTGTTCTACACACTTTTCTTATCATAACAAGCTATATTTCATCTCTGTGGCATCAAAATTGATGAAGTTACTCTTTAAACTATTTTACTTACTTTTTTTTGTACTTTCCACTATACACAATTTCTGTGTAATATCCAATAACTTCCAAATTTATCCAAATTAACTTTATATTATAAAAATATTAATTTTCCTTTTATATTTTTTATTCT